TCTAAAATACGTGAAACATAGAATGAACAACAGCTTGTTCTTTGCCTACAGAGTGTCATGATATCCATGATTTCTATACGCATCACCTTGTTAGTGGTGCTTTTCTTTGTGTTTCTTCGTCGAAGCGAATTAAATATGGGTAGCGATAGGGACAGACGCATCGGTTATTGATAAGATGAATGAAACAACTTTTTTTTCAACTGAAAATATCAAATCAAAAGATATGTCATAAAAAGAAAAAAAACATGAACCAAGTTTTTCGTCAGATTGCACCACAGTCAGTGCCAGGTATAATAGCGGTTACATCTCAACCGGTTACCATTAGATTAGGACCATATTCAACAACACCACAACCTGTAGTAGCTGGCTTTAGAGAAATTTCTGTTAAAGCACCTAAATAAGTTTCATTGTAGCAAATAAATGAATTATCATTAGAAATATTCGATATAGATAATGAATATTTCCCAATGAAAACAAAGTCTATAATCTTTATGTGCAGGACTCGAGCTCGCTATGGAATTATAGAATTCACAATTGCGTTCTCGGTCAATTTAAAAGATTGGAAAGTAATTGAAATGAGATGTGAAATAAATCCATGTACATATTGTTCAGCAACCGATATCGATCCAAATGCTTCATCAGCATCAACATTGTTCATAACATCACTTGGTATTGTTTTAGATAAAAACCAGTGCGGGAAATTCATGTGGTTGAAAACAAAACGAAGCATTAAATCGAAAGCATTATGTAACTAAAGAAACAACTATGTAAAATTATTCTTAGTTATCAACGAATCGTTTATCAACCGAAAAAAATAATTGAAACACCATCGAGAATTAAAAAAGTTGATGTGATAACAAATTCATAGTATTATGTATTTATACCAAATAAAGATTGTTTTGAAGAATCTTCATACAAGAGTTAAAAAAAGAAACACTATTCAACATCAAACAAGTGAAAATCAAGAAGATTCAGATGAAAATTATTATGAATATAAGAGTCCCTCAAACTAATATTCCATAGCAACTTACATCAACATTCTCATTTCAATAGCTTTATTTAAATTCAACAATGAACAAGTGTATTAATTAAGTCGTATGACTAATGAAGAAAAATCGATCAGTCTTTACAGTTTTTTAATTTTTATGCGTAAGACATTGAATTCAAGTTTACTACGAACAAGTCATCAAACAAGTTGGATGATATTAACATAATCTGTCAAATTGTCTCGGTGTGACCGTTTTCATTTAGTGATAGCAGGAATAGATGCTCTCTTGTCGCCGTCAGATTCTTTATGATAGTTGAAGTGGCATGTAAAAAAGTGCATGATAATTAAAGTATCACAAAGACACGCAGCTACGAGTTCGGAAAGAGCGGAAATATACTCAAATATGTGCTCTGCGAAATGAAAATAGAGCCATTCGCATGTCACAGATACAGTTACGGCGATTATAAATAAATACAAAAACGATTTGATCCAGCCACTAAGAAAATGTTCGTATGTCTCTGAAAAAAGTCGAATAAGAGAAAAAAAGCAATATTGTCTCGAGTTATTGTCGTAAATTCTTAATTAATAAAGATAGGAACAAATATGGCAAGAATAATTTCCAGTCGAGATATGAAATGAAAAATGTGTTTGTTTTCTACTTCAATATGGTGATGGAGTTGCCGATACACACGACAGTAAATAAGCGCCACAGTGAAAACTACATCGAGAACTATCCATCCGGAAAATATAGCGATAAAAAATGTGTCCTTCTTATAAATATATGAGAGAATATAGCCGATATTACCAGTTTCAACTAGTATCCATAAAAGTAGGTGGTAGAAGAATAATAAACAGTGTGAATCAATCGGAGCACGGTATTGTAGATAGCAAAATACTATGAGAATTGTTGAGAGAAGACCTTCATAGATTGACGGCTCAGACTTGTACAACGTATGGTAACAGTAAAATGCATCAAAGATATAAGCAATTAATGAGAAGATTGGGAGCAAAATCACTGCCCACAAAAGGAAGTTGTCTTGCCTCTTGGTTGGAGGATACATAATAGATGTTCTTCTTTTCATGTTGTCAAATGTTGACTAAAGATGTAAGCTTCTAATGTTTTATTCTATTCTTAATAAATAAAAGAAATATTTTCAACTTAAAAATAGGTTTCCTAATTGACATCCACCAACTCACCTGACTTTATTATTACATGACATCAGTATATAAAGTTATTTGTACAGTACTCTAACTTTTTACTTCTTCCTTTTATTACTCATACAGCCCACGAAAAACACGCAATGTGAAAAAATCGATTTAATAATCATTACAAAATTGATTGAAAATGATATTTTTTGCAGAAGGTTACATCAGTTTTAATGAAAAATAATCAGAATAATTGAAGAAATGTCGATACTTTCGATTATTTTTTGATTATGATCAAGTTTTTTCTGACTTTTATATAATCTGTTTTTTTACCTGATAGATAATTGAGGGAATGACTTGTACATTTTTCAATTTTGTCAAAAGTATACTGAAATGCTGGAAATATCAAATGAAAGGTCATATATCATTCATTCTACTGAAATGACTAATAGTGCAAAAACATTGTTTGCAACTCTGGTTATCTCTATTCACCGATACATTGTTTTCATTAGGTTTCAACGTATATGGTAACATGTATTTGGTAGAAGATATTAGCAGTCGTCATGTTCAGTGTTATTGTGCATTCTTTTCAAATCTTATTTATTTGATCTTTTGAAAAAATCACAATCAATTTTGTTCTCTAAAAATATTCTCTATTAACTAGTTTATCAAAATGGAAAAGTAGCATATTTTCTACTTCATTTCAGAGTACAGCAAATGAGTCGGTCACTTATTATCAAGCTTAATCCAATATATTATCCCCATGCTTCTTTGTTTATCTTTCTATGTTTAGACAAATTAGGTTTTTGGCGTACTTGTGACAAAATTCCGAAGATCATGATCCTATAATTTGTGAGGTAAGATGTTAAAAATTCAGAAAAAGACCTTTTTTCATGTTTTAATGGAATGTTAAGATTTCCATTGCCTATCTTTCACACACTGAGCCAACCACGGTTTCGAAAGACTCAGAAAAGAGTTCTCCAGAGTGTGTATATGTGGAAGCAAGATCTTCAAACACATTCGGACATGTTGGAGACGCAGGTCTATTCCTTCACACTCACGTATTGTAAACAAGCTTTACAGACAATTCGGTAGAAACTCGAACGGAAAATTTTTTTGAAGACTAAACTCGATTGTATATAATGAAATCTCAACGACATATGACTCAAATAAAGTTACGCTGTTATTATTTGTATGGCATACGATATAAGCATGAGACGACCGAGCGGTAGATAACTCGTGGAAGTTCTTGGACACATTTTGTAGGAGTGACCCAACGCAAAAACGTTACGGATTTCGGAATCGAATTGATCGATGGTTTAATCTGGTTTCGGGTTCTGCAATAAACTTGAGGATAACAAAAACGGAAGCGAAAGAATGACGCAGCTACACCAAGTATTCAATGTTGTGCTTTACATTCCAATATAAAGAAACTAATCGGAGTAAAAGCCAAGCAAAAACCACGCAGCGAAGCACAGAACAAGTAGAACTTATGCATCAATTGAGACCGTAGGGAAACAAAACTAACTGAATCGAGACTCGTAAGGAAAAAAGGTTTTTATGATTGGGGAGAGAAATCAAAAAAGACACGATGCAATAAGTGAATAAAGAAGCGATACACACTTGTTAAGATCAATGACGGGGTTTCCCCTTCTTGCTTTTCAAAATTTTAACAGTTTCATTTTTTTTATACTTTTCTGGCAACATAAATCAGAATTATTCTTCGAATCTCTCAAGCAAAACTGCGAGTTTTACCATCCGTATCAATAACTAGTGCAATCGAAAAGTTTTTGAAAATATTGTGATAAAGATGCGACGAATTATCCCATGACTTATGCGATAGGTAGAACTTCAACTCGTACCCAAAATTTCTGCCATCTTCGGCAACGAAGTCGATTTATCTAATTTTGGAAAACTCAATACAACTTTCAGAATTCCTAGTGAAATTCGATATTTATTACTTTTGTTAACTGGTGATATAGGGAGTTTGAGTTTATACAAAAAAAACTTCCTCAACTGTGCTTGTGGATTTTTTGTAGCCTCACATAATGTTGTACAGATTTCTCTCTCTGTTTGTTGACTTGCTTCTATTTAATTTTAAAATGAATCAATCACTAATTTTCAATTATCTCTCGTATTTTACAAAGCCTCATAGCAAGATTAAATTCTATTAGCAACGAACATCTTTCACTGCTTAGAGAAACATTTCTTATTCAGAAAACTTCACGTAATCTGAACAGAAGGAAGCCAATAACTTGTCAATCATTCTAAATGCAGTTATATCCATCGGAAGCTGAATTTGATGTTCATGTCATCATTTTGCTAAGCAAAACATACAACACATGAAGTATAGCTTAACACACAATGGATAACATTTCGACAGTAAAAGTCAACAATAGTCCACCTACATCAAAACACATTCAGCAAACGCCCATTCAGTTGTTCACTAGGCCATCTTTATTAAGAAATGTTCATGATTCGGCGCATTGTTCATTCCGTTTGATCAGTTCCTCCAAATGATATTGAAGTTTCGTATCCGATACGATTGTCATAGACATTTAGTTTGGTTAGTGTTTGTGTGAAAAACTTCAAATAACGCTCCTATATGTGGATAACGGAAGGAAAAATATTAATTTCTATTGACTAATATGTAAAAAAATGGTATTATATGACGGTCCTAGAGGGATGACTGGGTTTGTAGCCTAGAAAGGATGGTGTTTATTGAGAAAAATTCAGTTTTTGAATTATGATCAATAGATTATATTTTGATGAAATCATGTGTATTCTGTTCGCAGGCAAATCAATGAAGAAGAACTTATTGAAAATAGTTCGACTGCATTTCTTTCAGTAACAATCACGATGTTCTTCAAATATCAGGCCCAACAATTGCACGATGTGCATGGCAGAATCCAAGAATTGTCTTAATTTCTCGTTTTAATTCGGGTAAAGTGGAAAAACACACCAAAGGCAACAGTAATGGAACGAAATAAGTAAGAAAGAGTGCAATTTGTTGTGGTACAGCACTAACACCATCCGATAAACCACAAACGCGAGCAATAGTTATGATAAACATAGGCATATTGAATAGAAGATAGAGAGTCGTGATTGACAACATCTGAATTGCCATCTTACGATGTTTACACCAATGAATGTTCCGACGAAATTGCCATCGGTGTACGATAATACGAATCAGTAGGCCAATACTGAAGATGACAATGATCATACTAGATGCACAGCCATGCACCATCATATCCCACATGTCAATCACTGGATCAAGAAGATAACACGGCATTGCACCACACACAGGTAGTGTGTATTGATAATTCATAAAGAACTACCAGCACTTATTTCTAGAATTGAGTTACCTCCCTAGGCGATTGCGCACATTCAAAAGAAAAGCATACATTCATGCATAAAAATGGCAAATGCATACACGAGAGATCTGAGAAAAAAAAGAATCTTACATGCAAGTAGGATATGGATATGGGTGGGATGTTCTCTTCACACTCACACCCGCTTGAGATAATTTTAGTTGAAGAATAAATAGATATCCAATTTTAATCTGCTCACATGTTGAAATCAGGAACTGCTAACCTTTTTTGTGCCTGAACACATAGTTTAATCGATCCGAAAAAATCTTCTATCTAACTTGACTAGTTCACATTTTCTTGGCTTCAGTAATCGCTTATTTAAAGGTTTATGCAGATATTCGGTAACTTGGCTTGAATAGCAAAGACTTTACAGGATTCTTAGCAGTAAGAAGCCAGAAGGAAAGGCTGATCATGCAAGAAATGTCGAAAGGAAATTCTTTTATTTTATATTGAATATTCAACAAAATCAAATTAATTCATTCAATCTATGTGCAGCTGTTAGGATATTTCACCTTTGTACAACCAACCTACTTGTCCTCGAAAACGAGTGTGGTCTATGAACACATTTCTTTCAACAGAAGTGCTCGTTTTCTATAGATATTTAAGATTGTTTTCCTTTCAATAAAGTCTGTCTATTCCGTACATATAATACATGTTATCAAAACGTGAATTATGATTAATTATGTAGAGACATTTTGTCGTATATAATTATTTTCTCTATATCTTCCATCGTTAGTGTACTATGGTAACGATTGCATACAGTGGACATCCGCTAGATTCACATCCATTACTCGTTAGTAGACATCATTTATCAACGAACCCATAGTCAAATGAATTTGAGCAAGAAGGATAGATAATCATCACAATATAATAGATGGTTAAATACAGAATAAGTATGGTCAACAGGACATAGTGAACAAGTAAACGTTTCTTTCGAGTAGACAACCAACAGGCGTGAAAAATGAGAATATGTCGTTCCATTGAAGTCCATGTGAGAATTACAGTGCTTGAACTATAAAAACCAATATCGACCAACCACGAGAACAAACATCGTGTCGGTGCCTGTGGCCATACTTTTCCAAGTCGAATGAAATCAAGGTACCATGTCACATCGATTAATTGACAAGGTAATACAGCAATGAGTAACACAATGATTGTATGATTGCTCAATACATATCGAGAAGGTCGGCGCAGCAATAAACAGCAGAGAATGAACAGAGTGCATGCAATAGCTGGAATATCCAAAAGCAGTAGTAACCAAAAGCCAAATAGACGAGGCAACGAAACTTCCCCGATATAAAACGTAACCGATACGTTACTTTCCATCTCAAATAAAGGATATAAAATGTTAGAAACTTGTTAGCATTATTCGTGACGAGAATCAAGTACAAACTTCAGATATAATTGGTGAAGTGAACCTCAAGACAAATGAATCATCCTTCATTATTTCCTATCTATTGTAACAAGCATGTCGACATCGTGCTGCGTCATTCTAGTCAAAAATTGTAACGGATGTGACCCAGATTCTTTAATGATGAAAGCAACTTCATCATTGTCATTCTTCTTCTTTTGACTCCGCAGGGAATTGCATTAAAAGACTTTGATTTTAGATAGAAGATATTGATTGAGACTATTGAAGGATGTTTAATTGCTATTAAATAGTTGCTTTCAACCGGAAGCAAGGATAAATCTTGATGTGAGCCCTTGGTCATAAACTATATGATGATGTGACCAAGCGTTAAAGAATTTCATTTTTTTTTTACATTGTAACATATATTTCTCGTCAATGGTAAGAGCAAATTTCTTGAAACTTTTATTATAGATAGAAATCCCTTAGCTCTACCATCAATAAACATTTCATCGAACTTACTTTGGTTGGAGCTGAGCGTTTTTGGAGAATACTGGCCCGTAGGGAATTTCAAAAATGAAATTTGCTTAGCGGAGCTGAGAATTTAATAATTAATAACGAAATGGAGCAACATACAAATAAACTTTCAATGTAAAAGTTGTTCAGATTTTAACAAGCTTGCAGAATAGCAGATCATTTTTTAACTAGCATAACTGTGTTGGGCAACAAACTAAAAGTAGTGTTGGATGTGGGGGGGGGGGGGCGAGCGTAGGTGAAGAGAAAACTCATACGCACGTACACCATGAAATGATGACTTCATTTTCTACTTAAAGTAATTTTTCTTTTTTTTTGTCAGTTATCAAATCTAAAAAAATTAATACATGATATAGTAGGTAGAAGAGAAGAACTAAAAGATTATCGTCAGAGAATGACGTCCAGACAATTTTTATCAACGTTAACTTACATCGATATGCACGAATACTATTAATTGGTGTTACTGTTTACGAACTGTTCACAATTTTACATCTTCTCTTTTTCTCTCAATGTGCCACAATCAAAAATTATTTACAACACGCCATGTATGCTTGTCTTTTTACAAGAAATTAAAAAAAAAACAATTTTTTCACAACAGTACGATTATTTTCATGTTAAAGACATTAATTATTTGATTCATGTGACGCGTCAGTTGGTTGTATGTTAGTCTTTTGTAAACTATTAACTACTGCCATCTCATAGCTGGGTGGCAAATCTTCCATAAATGGTGGTGGTGGTGATTGACCACGAAACGATGTTCGAGACTGAGTAATTGTAAAAGGCGGAATACCCCTTGACATATCAGATACTTGACGTGAATTCTTGGTGTTCATAGCAATACAAATGCGACAACAAACACAGAGCAATATAAAACCAAAGGTAACTATAAGGGTAATCATCCATACCGAAAGCTGACGACTCACACACGTCCCAAATGAGTTACCACAAGTATCCCCTTCTTTTAAATCAAAATTTTCGAATTAACATAGATAGATTGAAATATAATTAATTTCGAACTTACTTGGACAACACCATGTAAACGAATAGATGGACCCGCAAGAAATTCCTAAATGAACAGAAGTATTTTTATATCTTAAAGTAAACAACGATCTATACCAGGCTCGCCATTATATGTGCATGAACCATGAGTAGCTTTAGTAATTGCTACTAGAATAAATGTTGCAAGTGTGAGAACAGACATACTGTTTCGTAATTTTTTTTTCTGGTGTTTGCCACGTGTTGTAAGAAACGAAAGATTGCAATTGATAACACACAAAGCATTATTAATAGTAGTGTATGATCTTTAGAGTCATGAATAATCTTCGATAAAAGTTTTGTGTCTTCTGTTTTGTCATGTAAATAGAATGGTCGATTTCCTCTTTTTGCATGGATATTGCTCAGTTTTTATGGTGCAAAAGTTAATTTTGTCATCAAAATTACGACTGAAAATTTTCAAAAACTATCTAAATTTGTTTGTTATAAACGTGTATTTTTATCGGATTCAATTATATAAATCGTATCTGATGATAGCTATTTATATATTTAAATATACTTTACATACTTTCTGCAAGAAAAGTCAGAAAGAAAAGTTAACTGCTTGTATGTAGAAGCTGCGTGTGCGAGAAAGAAAGAAAATAGACTCAGATCCACACCCCTTTCGATAAATTGCAACTATCCTGACACAAATATGCACAGTTGCAGTACAGTACCGAAGAGAACTATCATATGTGTAAGATAATTTTTTGTTAATAATATTTTTAAATAGCTTTTTCTTTTTTTTCGTCTTATCTCTTCGCTTAGTCATGCAACAGCAAAGAGAAAAAAAGCTTTTTTTTCGTTAACGATGACACTGACACTTTTTCTATGATACCATTACGACTAAATAAATATAGATTTAAAAAAAATGAAGTATTGTATAGATTCTTTAGCTTTTAGGCTACGATACAAACAGCATGGTTCACAATAAAAATAACATATATTGAAGATTAACTTCGATGGCAGAAAAAGGCTTCCTCTCGAATTGTATCATCGAAGCTATATGTCGTTGCCTTGACGCATTTACTTTATTAAATATACAAATAAGCATGCAATTATGCTCGAATGAAAACATACGCTTCAAATATTGATTGGAAGTGTTCACACACCGTATTATTTGCATGACTATGAGCACCTATTGCATCCGACTATTAGAAAATGTCCATTGGAAATGCATGAGGTCGTCTTATATGAACCGAATATGTTGTGACATAAATTCATAATTATGTTGACTATGGAAAAATATGAAAATATGACACTCTGATCGATCCCACGTTGTCAGAAATTTGGGGTGTAAATATTCGTGAAGGTGACGACGAAGGGAACATTTTTGCTCTCATTCCTTCTCACCTAAAAATCAAGTTGAAAGGTATTCATATTTATGTTTGTTTTTCTTTGCAGCGTACACATGTAAATTGTTTTGGCTGTATGTTGCTAGTTAGTGAATATAACCACTGTTTTCTTTTCTCTTACTTTTACATTGACCAATTTTAGTGTCTAAATGTTGTAACCTCTAATTTCGCCCCATAATGTAGTAGAAATACTAATTCAGGGTGTGAGTGTGGCTATTGCTGTGGTTGTCGGAGTAGCTATTACCCTTACTCACATCCATCCACACCCACACCCTATTTGAATCAGTCGGTATTATAACTTGTAGACATTTTTCTTATCCATCATAATAGGACAAACCAATACTTCGATAAATATTAGATATTTTAGCAAAAAAATTAGCATAACAATCGATAGATCGAGAGTTTTTAGACGCATTTTACGCTGAAAAATCTCCTAAGTTGAGTATAATTATAGAAAAAAAATAATTTTAATCGAACCTTTTATCATTGATAAAAGAAAAACAAGATTTTATTTATCGTCAAGGAGTTTTTCCTTTTGTCTTATCAACAAACTTTTAGCGTTGTATTTATAAAACACCTCAGTATTCCCTTTTCCACCATTATATATGAAAAAAAGAAAGAATAATTCATTCAAGTTTACTGAATTTTTTTTTGTTCAAGAATATCGGAAAAGCTCGAAATTTCGATAATTTAATTCTTTTTACAATAAGAATATATTCTTGCAAATTTGATTTCTTTACCTGTCTTCACTTCATTTTATCACTTCAGAACGTTATGAAGAAAACAAGTGTTTATGTGCTTTGAATTCGAAAACAGAAACCAAAGGTATGAAAGAATGAGTGATAAAAGTCAACAGAAAAATACTATGTTGCAACTTTCATTTTCATGAATAATTCGTATCATAGAAGTGGAAGAAAAAAAACGAGTTTTGCGAGAAAAAATATAATAATACAACTAGTTGAAAGCATTACGTCCAATAAACCATTTTTTTTAAACAACAGTATTCAAAAACAATTATTTTTTCACCATGTTTTATTCGACATGCAAATCATGTAAGATAATAAACCAAAAACAGAAGTTTCCTTCAACGATCAAAACGTTCTATCAAATGGCAAAGTCTTCTTTATTTCACTTCGCAAAGGTTTAATAAATTTTTCTGAACGAAACAGATGAATTAGAAATGAATAAATATAGTTGAATAAAAACGAAGTCTTAGCCATGGCTGATTAGGGAATTGCAGGTTCAGAGATTTTATTCTTGGTCAAACTCGTGTTTACGTTCTTGTGTAGCGATAACATCCTAGATGGAATAGTGAATAACAAAACAAACTGTGCACTGTTTTTTTTTCTGAGAAGAGCTAAAACATTGATCTTTCACTTGTTAATGAATATAGAAGGTAGCAGATATTGACTTAAAAATTCAAGAACTTACAATCCCTATTCTATTTCTAAACTAATCGACTTATTTGAAAACTAAAGCGGATGAAATTTTGTACAACTCGTCAATGACTAATCATTTTGTTTACGGTGTGAGTGGTTGTGGATTATGTAGGTGTGAGATGGAGATAAATGTGGGTTTAGTCCTGGCTCATCACTGAATCCACAAACCCACACCCACACCCACGCCCCCTCACGACTTAGTCAATAAGGCAAATGCTGGCAGTAGGAAAGAATGCTTGCTCACCATCCTAATAACATATCGCTATTTGAAAATGAAAGTTCGCTGTTAATATCATGAATGATTTTAGCGGAATTGATTTCGCAATCTTCCCTCTACACCTCTTCTAAATCCTTGCATAACATCAGTGTACGTAATAAAAACTGTTTTTATTTTTCATGGAGCCTTAAAGGCAATAAAAACAAGAATAAGTGAGGTGTGGGTGTGGGTGTGGGTCTTGATACCTTCTTCATCCACACCCATACGCACACCCTTATTGATTTATAACGGAAAGTGTCTTTTCTTCTAAGAGAAATGATTTGAAATAACGAACTAAACAATCACTAAGAAACAAAACACTTGGATATTTTAGCTTTGTAAACATTTTTTCAAAGAAAAGAAATGCTAATCAATAAAAAACATTGACAAAACTCATAGTAATGGGAATCGCTATGAGTGTGAGTGTGGCTAGTGCGAAAATAAGTCTAACCACAACACCCACACCCATATACGTTCGTTGTAGTCGGAAAAGAAGCAATCCTTCTGACGTATGCATACAACAAAACCGAGTAAACAAAGATAAAACTTCACTTCTTTCTGTTTCCACTGATTCTCCTCAATTAGTCAGACTGCTGTTGCTTGAATACGTCAAGGTTGTACACGTGAAGCAAAGTCTGAGGGTGGTCTGGTGGTAGGGCCTGTCGATCAATATCGAGTGCCTTTTGAGCATATTCAATAGCTTTCGCATGGGATCTCATATGATGCATTGTATTAGCAATAGTACTGTAGGTACTTGCTAAAGATAGATGAATCGCTGGAAAAAAAATTTAAGCGAATCTTGAGTGATTCTTCGCATTTTTCTAGAGCTTCCTCATATTTGCCTTGATCATCGAGAATCGTTGCTATATTGGCATGCAATGTGGCCACTAACTCTTCATCATTATTTCCTTGAGCATTGGAGGCTTTGATCGCTTTCTGAAAATATTCAATGGCTCGATCCATTTTCTTCTCCTTGTAATAAAGAGCTGCAATATTGTTGTATGTTGTCGCTTTGTCTGTTGCACTATCAGATTCTTCTGCTTCCTTAAGTTCAAGTGACTTGTGGTAATAAGCTAGCGCTTCGCCATACTGTCCCAATTCTCCTTTAACCATTGCAAGATTGTTGAATAAGACTGACCGACGTTGCCATTGAGTCTCAGTTTCGAGCGCCATCAGATAGAAATATTCAGATTTTCTCCATGCTGCTAATTGATGCATTAGTTTAGCAAAATTTAGGCAAGTATTTCTGTCTGTCATAGACTTTTTGAAATGTTCTCTCAAAGCACTGAGTTGCTCGTCCTGATCGTCTGTTAATGTCAAAGAAATTACCCATATTCCATCTGGTAAGCATTCTACTGAACCAATACGAAATACCGATCCCATGGAAAAGAGCCACTCTTGTTCCGTCTTATATGCACTAAGATCAGCTATGTTGGCCACAGGAACTATCGTATTCTTATCGACTGTAATTTCCATTAGGACGCTCACTTTCTTTCTATCATGAAGAGCTTCACGAGCAAAGTGAAGGCCTACTTCACGCTCAGCGCTGGTAGAAAGAAAATTCGAGATAGATAAAAGTCCATTTTTATTCATACGAATTCGATCAAAATCTGCTTTGTCCATTCCTTGTCCGCGAAAGAGTTTCTTTTGATCAATACTCTCCTTTTTGTGTTGTGCAGCGATTTGTTCATGGAGATGACGAATAAATACTCGCAGAAGATAAAGTATATCGTACTGATGAGTGCGAAGAGCTTTATTCAACATACGATAAAGAAATGACTCCTGGCTGTACCACCAGACGGGGAATGGGAAGAGTACTTTTGTTTGAGTGTTTTGAGAAATGGTTGTTCTGGAGGATTTGCTTGGTATTGCTTTTCACAAAATTCATACATATCTTGCATGTTCTCATCCTGTACTGCCAAGACAATATCTCGAAACAACTGATCGTACATAAGCAATGCTTCCTTTTGGTTTGTCTTAGACATAGTGTTTGACAATAATCGTTCCATCACTTCAAACCCGAAAAGAGTACGATCGATCTTTTTCACGTCTGTATCCAGTTGTTCACACACCGACAGTATGATAGTGTAAATACCGCGAATTTCTGGATATTGACTAATCCAAGTTTTGTCAGTCGCCTTATCTGGAGAAAAAATATATATTGACTTCAGCTGCTTCGCGTCGTGTATACTTGAAACAAATTTTTCTTCATCTATTCCTGAGATAATAACAAAAATCTTTTCGTCTTTGATAGTTGACATAAAAGCACGACATTCTTCTGGATCCATAAATATTTTGACTGAATTCACAACTTGTTGCAAATGACTTTTTGACTTTTGTTTATCCTTAACCTTGCCCATTGAGTGATCCAACCAGACAACGACAACATTTTCTACGTGTTCTACATGTGGCTGTGGTTTTTCAGGTTTCGACTTTGTAGATTGTGACATAGGCAGTATGAACAACTTAAAACCTGTCGGAACATACGTTAAATTAGAACTAACATAATCTGGTAGTTTTCCAGTAAAATTAAAGCATTTTTTTATGAGGTGAATAGACCTTTTTTTTCAAGCATTTTTTGGGACCTCATGAACGCTAAGAACTCCGGTGGGTGTCTTGCAATCTTGGAGAATTTTCGTTTATCTTCAAAGGTGTTCAAATGAATTTTATGTTTTCGTCACCAAATGTACTAAAACTTGGTCACGTCGCTGTTTTCCTAAATTCACAAAAAATGGTCGAATCTCGAATCTTGGTTGCGTTACAGCCATCTTCGGTAGTTCTTCTTTTCTAAGCATGTCTAGTAAATGATCGTGACTTCTCATAATCATACTCTCTTTAGTTTCATATTATAATTTTATGAAATGTCAGAGAAAAGATCACCACCCAAATATTTAGTACTTGACAATAGTTGAAATGAACCTTTAAAAAGCTTCTGGACTCTCTTCTATTCGGACAAAAGAAGACAAAGTAATCGTAGGACCAACTTCATCAACCGCATCTTGGTAATAATGGCTCACAGATAGGAGTTTGCAAGAACTCGGCCATCAGTAATAAGTATCTCAGTTTGTAAGAGTCCTTCAATTTTCCAAATAAAGAAAAAGAAATAAAATTGGAAGATCTTCGAAAAGTAGTTATGTAAACTATTGATAATGGCAAGACATCAATGCATATTGCCAAACAAGTACACAGCGTAGTTACTCAACGTATGCCTATGCCATACCAGAATTTATATACAGAAACAGGTACATGTAAAATAGACCTGATGGAATAAGAAAAGGAATTCGTTACGTACTGTTAAATGATGTTCTTCGCAGCGTCGAAATTTCGTCACTTAAAACTTTGTGTATTTTGAAAGCATAAAATACTTATATAAAAGAAATTGTTTCTTGTCAATTGTAGAACTGTTTATGTCGCATCTCCTAGTAATTTGTTTTTGTAATAAAAAGTGCTAAGTAAATGAAAATTAAAATACACAAAGCAAGGTTACTCAGTCTGCCTGATCCATTATGTTGCTCACAAGGCCTTGACAGTATGATGCTGATAAATTCAGCAAATCTATTGCGATCGAGAGTGTAATGGTGCTTGAAATCAGAGTGCACTAAATCCTACCTATAGTAAACTTATCAACTCAACTGATCGACTTTTCGATAATTTTCATCAGCGAGTAATACTTTTTCTTAGCCCTACATACAAGTAATAAGTGTACGTATCTATTATTTGAATGTTTAAAATTAACATTCAGCCAGTATCAGTTCACTTAGCGGATGAATGTGTGGGTATGTTGCAGGGAAACGACAATAGCATCTACACACAACTTGTACAGATAGAATTATACTTTTCTCAAAAATAGTAACTGTTTAATATTTTCGACAATCGCTACTTAGTTCGTGAAGTTTTATGCAAAGTTTGATCCAAAAGTAACACAACTGATATATTCGGAACTGCTATGGCAAACTACGACATCATGTATCATACACTGAAATCCTGCTCTCCTTACTTCTCAACGTTCTATGATTTTGTTTTTAAAAAGAAGGCATTTGTTCTAACAAAAACAATTCCAACGCTCTCCAGATAATCTAATAGTCTTTAAGCTACCATGCATACATGAATAAATCATTTCTTAGCCCAATTGTTATCACGTTCCAGGAACTTCAATGCCAATGATTTCTTTTACTTCTTGAATAGGGCACGCTTTTTCTTAGAAACCTGTCTATGTTCTTTATATTGCACAGCATTCTTTGAAAGACCATTAGAACGAGTAAAGCCTATTTTATTCAAGCTTGAAAACCTTGTAATCGGCTAATTGGAGCTCGCTGTGTACCTGTCAATCAATTTCACTCTTATGCATTGGCTGTATCTGAATTTATGACTTCTACATTATCGAAGCTTCTTCCCATCATGACAACTCCTCCAATCGTAGAAGCTCCATTTAATGGTTTTTTCCAGTATAATTTTTTCATTAACACTAGTGATATTTGACGGAAGTTTTCAGGATCCGATGATTCCATGCTCAAGCTTCAGAGGACTCGCTATCTTGGCTTTCCCGGAATATATTTCTTTCGGATAATGTGTTGAAAACTGAATAAATCTCAAACAGAAAACAGCACTCTGAAAGAAGGACTAATGGTTCGGTGAAACCTCTGGCACACGAGCAGAAATCCCCGAATTTCTGTACGATCTCTGGTGCGCACACGAGAACTCTCAAGTGTCAAACTGGATTCTCTGTTACTAGCAAAATCTTTCCAGTGTGTTAGAGACTGCTTTTCCAACATCCAATCGGATCGAATATGAAGAAGCCGCCTGACAAAACTATACAGAAATAGGAAGCCATTCGAGGTCAACGTTGTTCTGTGTATGTTTCCGCCCACTATAGGACATCTAAGAGAGCTTTTTATGTCAGACTACTCAAAAAACAAACAAACAAGGAACTCTTAATAATCATGTATGATGTGGCAAGATTGGAGCTAAAATATGCTTCGAACAATGTTGGCTTTTCATATGATTCCATCATTTACCGATCGCGAGAAATTTAATTTTCGAAAATTAGTGTTCTCGCCATCACTCGTTCTGGAGACCTGTCTCAACTTCATTTAAACTGATGACAGCCTATCATATTTGACCCACATCGAGAAATTTAGGTGCAGTGCGGTTCATCTGATGTCTCGACAATCTCTGAAACCTATTCCATGCTCCAAGAACATTAGTCTTACTCTGACCGTACAATGATTGGTTTGGGATCTATTGTTTGCTCCGGGGAGAAGCTTTACATTTAAGAAACCGATTTAAAGTTAATCCTTAATGTCTTATAATGTGTATGATTTGTAAACAGAATCTAATTCTCTAGTTACTCAATAGTTTTGCAGTCTTTCATTAGTACAAAGAATAGGAGAAGATAACAGGTTCTGAAACGTCGCGTTTCCTGTTGCTACTCGAAAGACTGTCAGCTGAAACTTGTACTTGTGTGAGAGATACATTTTTGTCGACGAAGCCGCTGAGATGGCGGTAATTTACTATCAAATCTGCCATCGTTTGTAAAAAGTTGCCAATCGGTTTTCTTCTTGTGCTCGCCAGTGATAACTGTAGCTTGGGCCATGAATGCTTTTCTATGTTGTCAAAAAAGCACTCTTTGTATGGTAGTACAATAAGCAGCAAACAACAGTTGACAACTTCTTTAAGTTGAATTTATTTCTCTTCAAAATGATTTCAACAATACTTTTGTGTCGAATTTTACAGAACACTGTAATTTGAGTTATGAAATGTTCTTTTGGTTTTTTGGAGAAAATAAATTCGATAATATTATGAAGCTCGCAACGACGAAAAAGTTTATTATTATTTTTTTAAATTCTTCTATTTCTTATTTTTCGTTTTTTTCCTCTTGTGTTTGTTTCACTTCACGCATCAAATCAATAAGTGTTCTTTACAAGGAAAAAGTAGCAACCAACACCTTTTCAGAGAAGCATATGGTGTTTAATTTAAAACCAAACGAATCATTCATTTCTTTCAATTCCTATTACAGTAGCATATGTTCAGCAATCCTTTGTAAAATAATGTGTCCTATGCGCGTAGGTAGGGTGTGAGTGTGGGTTTCACTTGAAGAGGAATACACCGACGTCCATACCAACACTCACCTCTACATCAGCACTATTTGCTTTGCTTTTTTTCAGTGAATTATAATCATTGCACTTTACTTTACTTTTTCAAACCAAAATAAAGATAACGTGCCGCACCTGACGCAAAGTATGATAGTATAGAAGCAAGGAGAGCGAAAGACATTTGTCCGAGGATGTACTCATATAGAACAGGAATGACAATAGTATATATTGTATTCTTTAAAAAGTATAGTACTGTTATAAAATCACACTAAAATTTTAAGGTATTTTATGTGTACTGTTTCAAGAACACTGTTCCAACCAATGATTGTTTTCTTTTTTTGCATTACAACATTATCTGCTTCTTTTCCATCTTAGGAGAGCGAAATAACTAAAATAAACTAGTTTACTAACGTTGTATTGAATAAAAGAAAAGGGTTGAAATTAGGATTTGTCTTTGAGAATATCAATAAATTTGACTTTTTGTTAGGAAAATCATAGAAGACACCCCACTTGCAACTTATGAACAATAAGACAGATGAAAAAGACTCTGGGCCTTCTAATGTGTCGAGGGCTTTAATTAACATAGACACCTCCAAATAGCTCTCGGAAAGTTATCAGTAGAACTTCCATATACTCCTTGGGAAATTTTCTGCATCATCCCTAGATGATAAT